CGTGGGGACTCGCCCGGCCTGCGGGCGTGCAGCTTGGCTCGGGGCTGCCGGGCGGCTTCCCGGCGTCCTTGGCAAGGAAACGAGGCCAGATTCTGGCCTGGACGGGAGCGACGGGACCTTGCAGGTGTTGGGGCTCCCCGAAGAGGAGCTTTCCGTCTCGGGCGTCTCCTCGGGCGGGCCCCTGCTGCCCGCGATGATGGCTGCCTGCCCCCACGCAGCCGAGCGGGGTCCTGGCCGGCCGAGGGCGCGCTCAGCCGGCCTCTCCCTCGCGGATGGCTCCTTGCACAGTGCAGACGCCTTCCGGCTTGGTAGCGTCGGGTTTTGTTCGTCTTCGCCCTTATTTTCCTTGCCACCTCAGTCCAGTCCCTGGAGACGTCAGGAAACCAGGCCGTGGGGGCTGCCCACGGACCTTGCTTCGTGCCTTGGGGCCGATGGCCCCTCTGGCGCTGGCCCCGCCGCCACAGCAGGGCCCCCGCGAAGGGCCAGTTGTGCTGTCTCCGGGGGGTGGTGGGTTAAACGTCCGCCCACGAGGGGGCTTCTTGCTGGGCTGCGCCCTCCCGCCGGCCTGTGCGCCCGCTGGCTCTGTGGCCAGCCGCCCCGGCTGACTGCCCGTCAGCGTCTGGGGCCTCCTGTCTCCACTGCTCAGTCCAAAATAGCTTCGGACACTCGGGGCTTTGAGGTCCACCTGAGCTTCAGCCGTGTCTGCTCTCCCGGGGGCCCCTGGGCAGCGCTGGGCTGTGAGCACGTGGCAAGGCGGGCGCTGCCCTGCAGTGTCTGGAGCCGAGAGCACGGACCACGCTTCCGTGTCCCCCCTTCGTCCACCTCCCACGGCCCTTGCGCGCCCGTCGTCGTTGCTGGAGACTCGTCTCCCGCTTGGCTAAACTCCTCCTAGCCGTCTGCCCAGCTCCACCTTCCCGCTCCGTCCTGGGAGGCGCAGAGAGGGTGTGGGGCTGACTCCCCGCCTGCTGCACACCCTCAAGCGCCCACCCTCCTGCGGGCCGGGGCCTGGGCCTCGCCAGCCTTGCCCAGCTCTGCTCGGGCGTCTGCGGGAGAGCATCCACCCCGTCCCGCCGCCCCGGGCCGAC